TACACTTAGATCCCCATAAATCTCTCCCTTAATCTTGCCTCACTCTCCTCTTCTTTTCTTTTCCTTTTTTTAGATAACTGGGGAATCTTCTGTTAGGCCTGAAGGCTACTTTGCTTTCACTGATGAAACAGGGTTCAGAGTCCTCTGTCTTATCTAGAACCCAAAGGGAGCTATTCTTCACTCTTCAGTATCTGGGCTGCAATTTATAAGAACCACATGTGGCATGATTCTTCTATACCAATGCAAAGCTTGCATAAATTTTGGGGACATTGCACAAGTCCAGCACATTTGGTCTTTGTTTTTAGATTCTTCTCCAAAATTTTCTGGCCATTCATTTAATGGTGCTTGAAACTCACCTTTCCTGTTTAAGATCTCCATTCAAATCCCCAATGAGGATTTTGCTGTGTTTTTAAAATGGGGCATGTAGGAATGCTTACAGAGCTTGGACAAAAGGAACGGAAAGGCAGATAGCGCTGTGTCCCCGGGTTGCTTGGGGGAGAAGAAAGGGCAGTTCCCAGGAGAACCGAGAGGGTGTAGTCTTAACTTTTGAAGAAGATTGTGGGTTTGTCTCAAGCTTGTTTCTGTATTTGTGACATCATAGATAAACGCTTTTTATCGTGAGAAGGAGAAGCACACATTGTTTTCAGATGTAATCAGTATATCCCTTTACTAATAAAAGTAAGAAAGAGAGGTTTACAATCACTCCACATGGGTGATCATGTGCGAATTTAGCCAGTGTTTTATGTCCCTGGCACATAGCAGGTGCTTGGTTAGTATTCAGTGAGCAAACAAAGGAACAAAAGGTTCCTGGCAGATGTCTTCCTGGAAAAGTATTTGGCAGTAAGCTGGTTGCACTGTTTTGGCTCCTGGATTGCTAAAGAGCTGGGTCACTGAGAAGGCTCAGATTGCGAATGCAGTGGGACAGTGTGTGACTGCGTGCCCTGGTGGTTGGTATCTTGGGTATTTAGCCAGTCGCTTTTGCCTACTGGGTTCAGCATTTCTCTCCAGTGAGTGCAGGTTCTGCTCTCTGGAGGAAGTCAGTGAGGGGCGTGTGGGCTGAACCCTGTTCCCAAAGTCATTACACTGCTTTCCTCTGCACCCTTCCTATTCAGCAAGTAGCAGCTCAATGTAGCAAGGATGCCCGTTGCTTCCTCTCCACACAGCGCACATTGCACGCACATGGACCACTTCTTGTGTGTGTGCACCAAGGTGCCCTCTGTCTCTTCTTACCTGCTAGTCTCTGCAGTGACTCTTTACTGAGTTATCTCATTTCATCCTCAGAGCGAGGGACAGTTACAACACATATACACTAGGCTCAAAGAACTGAGATGTCTTGGCTGAGGTCACCTGTCTAGTGGGTGGTAGAGCCAGACGTGACTCCAGGCCCGTCTGCCTCTGCTCTTTTATGTCTACAGTTCTGCTCTTGTGTGAATCAGAATAGGAGGGCTTACTAGGAAGGCAAAGGGGAGAAGAAAACCAAGTGTGACTGAGGTCCGGTGACTATGGGACAATTTATAAGCGCTTTATGAGATAGCTCCTCTTGGTCTGTCTTCTTACCGCGTGTTTGGCAGACTGAGTGGATTATCATCTTTAGGGCTGCCGGTGTCCTCTCCTATCTGTGCAGAGAGTCCTCCCTTTTCCTAGAAGTTTGCCGGAAGGATTAACTACATCAGGAGCAGAGAGGTTCAGGGCCTCTTTCGGTTTCAGTCTCGGGAGTGGTAGGGAGCAAGGGCAAATGGCAGAGAAAGCCTCATCAGGACAGTGACAATGAGCATTACATCCTTTTCTTCTTTAGCCTGAAGTAAGGATGAAGAGAGTTATTTGTAAAAAGCTAGAGTGCACTTAGGTGACCGGCTCTTCAGTTGTGAATTAATGCGGCCACTGGCACCACGTTTTCACAAAGTGGGAATCTAGGGAGCATCTGTGGGAATGCAGAAACTGAAAGGCTTCTGGAGGGAGTGTTGCTGGGACCCTGGAAACAGGGAGTCTTGGGTCCCCGCGGAGGGGAGCATTTGGGGGGGGGGGGGAGCAGGTACACCAGCGGCCCCCGGCACAGCTGCCCGAAGTGCATTGCGCGCACACAGATGGCTGAGCCCATCTCCCTGCGGTGATACAGACCAGATTTCTCAGCATAGCTTTATCCTGATGCAGTCAAGGGAAATTAGTCAACTGCAAGCTTGGATGATGCCACTAACAAGCTGGCGGGGATTCACAAGAGCAGATTCCTCCGCTGTGGCCACGGCACACACAGCGACAGCAGCGTGGTTTTGATTACTGCACATGTTCCTCCCTGATGAGGGCAAGAACTTCTTGGTCTTCTTTACTTTTAGACCCCCTGTGATGCCCCCACATGTACAGGCCTTTCCAGCAGCAAAGCAGCTTCAGGTCCGTTGCCCTGTTGGATCCTCACAGGGGCCTCTGGAAACGAAACAGTGAATCAGCACCTTCTTAATGTGTAAGAATCAGGGATCAGAGAGGTTTAGTGACTTCCCCCAAGGCCACACAGTGACGTTATAGCAGAGGCAGGACTTGAACACAAATGTTCTGACTCCCAGCTTAGACTGCACAGTCCCGTAATCAATTTTGATCAATTTTAGGCAAAATGTAGATGAATTAAATTTACTTGGAACATGGAGGGCTAAAAGGAAGAAGAACCGACATTTTAACATCATTTAGGAAGTGTGTCCGGTTCTGTGTTGGCTCATTACTCAATTATCCCATTGGTGGCACAAGTTATACAACAATTGAATAAAGGTTGCTTCTCCACATCAGCATCTAGTAATCTCCTGGAGAAACCATAAGGACAGCATCTGGCATTGTGCCATAGTACAGCATTGTCATTAAGGACCCACTGGGACTCTGTCACCCTTGGCCTTTGCTTTTTATTCTAAATGTTATCATCTCATGACTGCAAAATGTTTCTAGGAACCCTGCAATAACACCCTAAGTGGGAAGGAAGACAGTGGGTATAGAATAGTTTTCCTTTAGTGGCAAGAAAAAAAATTCATTGCAACTAAGTGCCCAGAAAGCATCCTTTTCTGTTTCATTGTCTGGGAATGGTCACTGGATCACCCCTCCGATGCAAGGCAGGCCAGGAAAGCATGTACCCAGCAGGGGGGAACCAGAGAGTTGTGATGACAGAGACTGATTGCTTCAGGCCTTAGGAATGGGCATATTGTCACCCTGAACCAAATCAGTCAGCAAGGGAGGGAGAAACAGCTGTGTATTTTTTTTTTTTTTTTTTTTTTTTATAAAGCAGCTTCCAGTTCAGTTCAGTATCATGAGGAATAAGAATTTTGGGGAAGTTCTTCAGGTTTAATTATGCAATTCAACTGTCCTGAGATGACATCTATTTTTTGGATAAAAAGTCGCACTCCCATTTGTGAATGGTTAATTTTAAAACTGCATACATGTATTTTTTTCCATGCTTTTTAAAGGAGACCTAAGCTCTAAGACAATGGGGATAGAATGTTTTACATGCTTTTGTATGACTCAGAGCATATATCAATGTTTAAAGAGAGGCAAAGTCACACTGATGGGAAACATTAAGTGTTGAGGGGTGGAAAGAAGGTGGGGCTTTGAGGTGCTGAGGTCAGTGATGTTGAGATCAGGCTGCTCGGGTAATCTGGGCTCCAGGCCTCATTACCTGCCCGGGACCCTGGGCAAGTCCCTCACTTTCACTGTTGTTGCATCCTCAGGCTGTTTTGTCTGTGCAGGTTGTCTGAAACAAATGTCCCAAGAACACGGCTTTTTTCACTCGCCCCCTGCTCACAGCCCTCCATGGTCTTCATTGCCAACATATTGAAAGTTCAAACTCTTCAGCTAGACACAGTTCAAAAACTGGCCCCATGAAAGGTGTTTCTCATTCTTTCCCCTTGGAGCTCTGGGCTGAGACTTTGGTTGCTGAAGTGAAAATGCTGTTATACAGTCATCATGGAGGATCAGACATGGGCCTAAAGGGGGGACCCAGATTGATGAGGGAGCCAGGCACAGGGCAATTAGAATTTTGGAGGGGTATACAGGAAAGGGACCCCCACCTGCTTACCTCTGCTGTTGCTTCCCAGCAGAGGTAAGAAAGAGCTGACTCAGGGTGAATAGGAGTTGACCAGAAGATGCCAGAGTTAGGTATTCCAGACAGAAGATCCAGTGCTTTTTCTGTCAGAAAAGGCAGAATATATCAGAGGGCAGGGTGGGAGTCAGAGATAGCTGCTGCTAAGTTTATGGGGAGGCCTAATGAGTGAAGATGCTAGAACAGTCAACAGAGCCAAGTGTCCAGAGCCCTGCCAAGTCCTAGGAAGGTTCATCTGAAGAGCAATGGGGAGCTTGAGACAAGGCTGACAAGTGGCAAGATGCTCAGATTTATGTTTTAGAAGGACCACCCTAGCTACAGTGGAGAGAATTGAGCTTGAAGAAAGCAAGTGAGCTTTGGACCACAACAAAGAGACATATTCTGGTTACTTGGAATCAAAAATGATGGGAAGATGAATGCTGACCTGTGTGGAAGATGGTATCATTGTGCATGAGTAGTTTCCCAGAGTAAACAAAGAACATCAAGGCTTCTCCTTCCTCCATTCCGTCCTCCCTCACATGTGGCGCACTGGTGTTCCCGTGGCTCCACAAGACCTAAGACAAGAGCTGAGTTCTATCTACCCAGTTGTGGGATGCTCTTGGGACCCCACCTGGACCATGAACTGGTAGTTATGGCCAGAGCACCATTCTTTGGAGACACCCCAAAAGGACAGTCAGTTAACCATGTATACCCTGAACACTGCCATATACCAGCCTATGCTCTTGGGCTGGTATATGGAAGTCTTCACAAAGAGGGCTGTGTTTGACACTTAAACATGATTTTCTATAATGACACCAATTGAGGGTGTTATCTTAAGTGAAATAATCAAGCATGATCATGTTCCCATTTTGTTTCCCTTTGAGTGTCCTTGAATGATTTAGTATCCTTTGCATGCCTAATTGCTTCCTCTTGCCTGTCTCTTCCCTTGCAGTATAATGAGGAACTTCACTATGTGGAACCGTGCCTGAATGGAACATTGGTGCAAGCCGACAGGACCAATAAAGAGGTAGGGCTTTTTGCTGGGAAGGTGCATCAAATTGCCAAAGGGCAATGGGCACCCTTTCCCCTCATAGTGGTCACATACAATGATTCTGTCCTAGTTTTGAGAAACTTATTAAATGGATTGCCCTTTGATTGAGACCCTAGGGATTCCCAGTTTATAGAACATTTATGAAGAGACACACATAAAATCATAGCTGTAAGAAAATTCAGATGCTCAAGATGCTCGCTAGTTCTGAAACAATAGCATTGATTTTCTTTTATTCTAAGGACATCCTATGTGTGCTTGACATCTGGATTGACATGACTGAAATCATATTACTGTTGCTGAAGTTTCATCAAAAATTGAATCTACTTATTATATCTCTTGTTGCACATAAACAATTGATTTAATAATTATTGAGGTACTATTTTGTATCTGTCTTAGGCTACTGCTATTGGCTAGAAATGTCTGGGCACTAACCCGAATTCTCCCTTTTAAGCCTTTATTATGACTGGATTGGGCTTGAGTTTCTTGTGAAGATTGCAAGATACTCCTCAGCCATAACCATCAAGAAAATTTGAAAAAATAGATGTGTATTATTTATTAGTCATGTAAATTACAAGTGACACAGCATGTCTGAACCAGAGTAAGGTTAGTGAGGGCTGGGGGAAGAGAGAGAGAGACATTGGAGATTGTATATATATACATGGAATTCAGATTTTATTGACTTTAAGGGTCATACCCAATAATTGATCAGTTACCTAAATCACCATGATCTGAAATCACTAGGATTTGTTGGGGGCAGACAGCCTAGCTCTTATCTAGTAGCTTTCAGTATGTGTGTGTTTGTGTGTGTGTGTGAGAGAGAGAGAGAGGGAGAGAGAGAGGGAGAGGGAGAGGAAGAGAGAGAGAGCACATGTGCGTGAGCTAGCTCTTTGTATTGGAGGCCAAGAACTTGAGTCAGGAATTACATAAGGAAAAATCTACTGCAGATAGCCATTGCAGTAACATTTCCTGGATTATAAGGTACCCTTTATAAGGATAAGGATGATATCTGTTCACTTCTGTATCATAGTTGAGTTTAATATATATTTATTTTTGATAATTTCCTTTCCTCTGACATTAATAAGGCTACCCCTGCTTTAAAAATATAATCTTTGCCTAGTGTGTTTTTTCCCATCCTTGTATTTTCAGCATACCTATGTTATTGGCTTTCAAGTAAATTTTAGTAGTCAGTCTATGACTGGATCATTTCTTTTTTCATTTTTTAAAAAGATTTAATTATGCAAACAGAACTGGGGTACAGGCCAGAGTAGCAGAGGCAAGGAGAGGAGTCACTGGAATCAGAGTGGGGAGCAGAACAGGCAAACTGATGAAGTACACTGCTGAGGGGAGCAGCGGGCAGGTCAGGAGAGGTCTGCTGAGCCTGTGGTTGACCTCTGGGTGGGGATCGAACTTACACCTCTGCGACCGAGGCCAGCCTCCCAGTGCTGCACTTAACTCATTGTGCCACGGCCACAGGGAGGGCCTGGGTCATTTCTTTTAACTCCATGCAGTCAATCTCTGTCTTTTATACTCAGCATAGTATTCTATGTGCTAAATAATATAGTAAGGCTACAAGAAGTAAAAGCATACAGAAAAGAAAGTAAACTTTCTATTTTCAGATGATTAGCTTATATATGTAGGGGGAAAAAATCTGCCTAAAATGATAGAATCTGAAAACTTCCTAGGACTAATGAATTCAGCAAAGATACATGTATAAAATCAATACTCAGAAACATTTCTATATTTTAACTGAATGTATGGAAAACATTTTAAAAGGCAATGCCACTTATAATTGTTGTCAATAAACCTAGTAGAACATATACAGGTTTTATTATGCTGAAAATTACAAAATGCTAATGAAAGAAATCAAAGAAGGCCTAAGTAAATATAGAAACTAACAATATACATAGGTAGAAGTTTCAACATAGCAAATGTATCCATTTTTTCTGTAAAATAATCTGCAAATTTAGTTCAATTCTTTTCCTCTCCAGCAAGGATCTTGCAGACATACAAATGTACTCTAATATTTATATAGTCATAGAGCTGAGAATAGAAAATCAATCTTGAAAAAGAATAAAGTACAAGAAATCAATCTGCACAGTATTAAGAAGTAGTTACACTAAACAAGTGTGTGGTGTTGATGGAGGAGTAGACATATAGATCTACTGAGTATAAGGAAGAGTACAGACATATACTCACATGAATACGCTCAGATGATTTTTTGGCAAAGTGCAAAAATTCCAAGAATGATTCAGTGGAAGAAAGATACCTTTTCGATAATAGAAAAGGTGATCATCTACAGTGAACATCCATAAAGACAGACAAACAAGCAAGAAATATATACCTTTGATGCAAACCTCACAACTTAAATACAAGTTAAATCCAGCAAAATAAAATGAGCAATTATGACATTCTCTGAACAAAACCCTGTGGAAATGATCTAGGGCCAGGCGAAGAGTTTTTAGACTTGATACAAAAGCACAACACATAACAGGAAAATCTGATGAGATAGATTTTGTTAAAATTAGAAGAGTAAAGTATCTTAGGATGGGAACCTTTTTTTAAAATTTTGAACAATTTCAATATCTTTTAGCATTTCTTTTCTTGCCTGTAAGGTTTTCTTTGAAAAGTCTACTTGATGTAAAAAATATATAAAATAGTAGAAATAAGGAATCTAATAGGTGTTCCTTTATAGGCCACTCTTTCTCTTTGTGTTTTTAATAGTCTGTCTTTATTGGCTTTCAACAATGTAATGCGTCTTACAGTGTGTCAATCTGGTATTATTTTGTTTGAAACTCATGGGTCTATTGGATCAGGATGTCTGTTTCCTTTTCCAGATTGAGATGGTTATGAGCAACTATTTCTTTAAATAATTATTTTCTATGTCTTAATATTTTTCTTCTCCTTTAGCAGACTCCCATGGTATGAATGTCATTTCTCTTTAGGCTCTTTCTAAAAAAAATTTTTTTCTCTTTATTGTACTATTTGTGTGCTTATTGACATTGCATCTTTAAGCTATTGATTATCTCTATTACTTGCATTTGTCTGTTGTTAAATCCCTTTATTGTATTTTTTTGATACAACTTTTTAAAAAAAATTAAATTTAAAAATTAGATAAAAATCCAGTTATTAGATCAAATAGTTTTAATTGCAATGGCCCTATTTTTTTTAGCCTTACTTTGTTCCTATTTCACATCACCCATTGTTTCCCTTAATTTAGCAAGCTTGATTATAACTGTTATCTTACATTCTTACTCTGGCATAGTCTACAGTTCTGCTGGATTGAGACATCTGTTGGGGTGTTTTTGACTATAGTATTTGTGATATATTCTATTTCCTCACTTTTGCCTTTTATGTGTTGTAAATTCATATTTAATAAGTTATATCCCTTCCACAAGAAGATGGGGATGATTCTAGGGTTTTTGCTTAAAATTTTTAGGTGTCTATTATTTCACAGATTGCTCCCTTTGTACTTGTTCAAATGGCTGGGGCACTGGTGCTATAAAGGAGGAATGCCAGGAAAAACTGCCTCCAACAAGCATTAAGGTTTCAAGCTTCCTAGGGTGTTGATGGCACTTGGGTTATGTGATGGGTATCCACCTTGATCCCATCCTGTGTCCAACTCCTCAGCCAAAATGCTTCATATTGTCTTATGTCAACCTCAGCAATAGATGTAGTACTAAGTGAGGACTGTAGTGTAGACAGGGCTACAAGTCAGAAATTGTTCGCTTTGCTTTTGAGAACAATGCTTAATCCTGGGGTGTTTGCTACTGTATTTAGGGCCCCAGTGTTTAGCGCTGGTTTGTGAGAGTGTTCAGTTTTCTTGGTTTTAACTCTGACTGAGGGTAAGGCAGGTGGTTAGTATATTACAGCCTCAGGACTGTAAATAATAATCTCTTCTATCAGGAGACATAGATGATCTGATCTGGCTTACTGCCTGTTTGGGTTCCAACTATTTTACTCTAAAAGCCTCTGGCTTAAGCTAACAATCATTACTTTTGCACATTTTATACAATAGCTCTCCAGTAGTACACCAACTCTGTGCACCCTCCTTCTCCAGGGTAGTACATGATTTGTGACATCCCTAATGTAAGCATGTGCCTCAAGTCAGCAGGGTGCAATCATTGCCTCTTCTCCCTTGTGGGCTGTACTGCCCTCATATCAATCAAGCTCTCAATCATAGCTTTTCCTATCCTTTTCCACTTGCCACTGCTCTTGATATATACATTGATGTCCCTTTATCTTTTACGTGATATTGATGATGTTTCATTGTAATTTGGTTGTATGTAAAAGGAGGTGAGCCCAGTGCCCTCACTCTGCTGCTACCTTGCTGGGCTCCATTTGAGGAAATCTTAAAATGGGATGTTATTAAATTAGTGTGAATTGTTAAAGTGTGTTAGCTTACTTCATCTAAAACAAACAAACAAAAAATTACTGGCTGTAGCTCAGCTTCAAATTGCAAGAGGTTTCAGGTTTCTTACCTTGTTGGCATTTTTATTTGGAGAAAAGCAATACAGAGCATTGCTTTTTCATTGGAACCTTGGGGCATTTTCAAACAAAGGTAAGCTCCTTTAGTAATTTGGAGCAATTTCCATTTTCATTTTTATCGTCAAATTAATGGTAGGCTTTGTACCTTCAGGACTCATTTCGGGACTAGTAACAAAGAATAGCAAATTCATAAAGAGCAAACTGGGAATTTGCATCAGCTCAAATATCTCCAAAGCCCTGGAATAGAAAAGACTATCTCCAAGATTCCACGCTTGCACCATCTGTTCTCTATGTCTTTGGTGGCATCTCATTGCTTCTGTTTGGTCAGATACCCATACTGTGTCCATAAATGCATCTTAATTGGGTGTACCAACCAAGTCATCAGCCTTGCTGTCTGGGAGGCAGGTCTGTGTTGGTCAGACTGGCTGGTCTCCTGGAAGGAAAAAATTGGGCTCTAGGTCAGTACTATGATGTGGCTGTTCAGTAAAGGC